AAACATCTGGCATGGCGGTTTCAAAGATTTTAGCACAGTGGTTCTTAAACCGTGTTCGATCGAACCCCAGGGGTTCGGTGAATCGGTCCCAGGGATTCGACAGAGCCTCTGCCATGGAGATTACGACACACCCGACTCAACATGTCAATTAGTTATGACATGCCCGCTTGGCCATTACTGGCTGGTTCATTTTGTACACAAATGAAATATACTTATACGAATTACGTTTACTTTTGTCTGTTTTTAATGAATGAGTTTTTTTTAATGTCTTGAATTTGTAAAAAAAAATAAAATAAAAATAAAAATTGTATTTTATTTTTCACTAATGAAGTGAATGTGCATATGAACTGGTTGGGTTCGGTACCTTGAACATGGTTAAGAAAAACTGGTTTAGAGTAAAGAAGGTTAGTGTCGGGCCATTTTAGATTTTTTATTATCCATTCATTTTGATTTGGATTTTTGTGGTGTCAAACCCTTTCAGAACACGGTCCACATGATGCATGCGGGGCCCCTGTTGGTGTCCGTCTTACCACCGGGGAACACGGTAGAAACAAAAGAGAATAAGGTGTATCTACTTCAAATAATAATAATAATAAAAAATAATAAAAAGCCTAGCTCCTCATCATTTCAGACTTTGCCTAACGGTTAAAGGATTAGGCAGCCGGAGTCAGTCAAGGGTCACTGACAGACTGTTGCTCTGGGCGGGAGGAGGACAGCCGTATGAAGCCCCCTTTGGATAAACTTGGGCTGTAGACATGGCGAGATTAACATGGAGCCAGCACGATCCCAAAGACATGGATGTGAAGCAGCTCGCCATCCGCGCATGCGATGGCTTCCCACACCGCAGTCTCCCCTCTTCTTTCGCGGCTTCGGTTTGCTTTTCTTTTCTGGGGTCACAAAGACGCGGGGCAAGGAGTGGAAAATGATGGGCTTAAAATTGGAAAGAAAGGGAAGGGCATTGTCATCGGAAGGGCAAGGCAAAGGTGTCTTGGATGATATTTTTAATGGCTCCACCTCACAGCGGTGCAGAAATCCCATCTCGTCCAGACAATTCCCACGAAATAAATAACCATTACAGTGAATTCATGTCTTTATTATTCCTTACTCTCGTATATTTTGAAGAAACTGAAGAAAAAGCAAATGCTTTTTATGTGATTATGAGCAGGTATAGTTCAATAATTCAAATAGGTTGGTCACATATCACTAATTAATACTTAGTCATTATTATTGTGGTCTTGTTGTTATATTAATATGGTGTTATTAGTGATTCATTTCTTCTATCACTTCTGTGTCTTCTCTTAATTGCCTCCTGTTCACTGAAATGATGTGTGACCAAAATGATTGCTTGTTACGCGCTTATTAAGCATTTCATTCACAACTCCATTTCATTTCTAATCAACAAGCCCACTCAGGCAAATGATGTTTTTATCGACATAAATCATCGGACAATCAATCCCCTCGGAAGAGCCTGTATATCTTTTTATTGGCCAGCGATGAGCAAATGATTTGAGTCTGCTTCTTGTTTAATGATGCGAACAAATGGGAGGGCGATCATTCAAATTCACAGCAACTAAGGCGGCCCCTTCACGATGGAAATCTTGTAAAAGGTGCCCCTTTTTTTTTTATCTCGCCACTTTACAGAGGAAGGCCCCCCCAAACTCTCTCACGCCATGATATTTTTCTAATTATTATTTCATAGAGTCATGCAGAGGTCAGGATAGGAGAATCTGTGTGTGTGTGTGTGTGTGTGTGTGTGTGTGTGTGTGTGTGTGTGTGTGTGTACACGTGCACACCTTTGATTTCCGGAGATCCCTGCATACGTTTTGATTTACTGCTACAGTGTGCCACAGTAATTGGATGTGACACCATTTTCTGCGCTGCCCCATGGGGCTAGAACAGGAATCTGACTATTATGGCCCCAGTCATGAATATGTCACCGCCGTAGCAAACAAAAGGCCTGTGATTTTGGGATAAGACTCTTACTTCCTGAAGCTGGCGCTAATAGCAATGCCGCAAGGGTAAATAGCTTGTCTGTGCTGCAAATCGCCAAATGTATACACAGAATGATTAATTGGCATTGTCGTGTGATTACCACGTTTGTTCTCGTGGGTCAAAATGTGTCATTTTATATTATCATTACTATGTTATTTCCCTTTTCATTCTTTTGAGCTTTACAATTCACACACAGGGAACCCGTTGTGTGTGCGTGTGTGTGTGTGATCGCGTGCAGCGTTCTTGCGCAGAAATGATCCATTTTATCCATTAACGTTGTATTTTCTGACAGCTGACGATAATAATAATTAGAATAATTACAAAATTCATTGTTTGGTTATCATTGCCATCAATGTGAGCAGAAACTACTTTTTTTTTGCATTTTTTTAATAATCTTCTCGAGCAAGAAGCAAGTGTTTTACATTCATGAAAAGCCTTTTGGTGCCATCGAGCAAAAAAAAAAAAAGACAGTTTTTAATGAATAAAGTTCGACTTGAACTAATATTAAGTCAGCAAGCCAGTGCAGCTGGTTTATAATGACGTGGTCATGTGACCAATCTGTCGAGAAACGACGGCATTGCCAAAAGTCAAACATTATTATTGTTATTATTATTGTTGTCGTTACGTCTTACACTTGTGCTACAGGACAACGTTGTCACTCTATTCATGACGAAAAAACTTACCTATCATGTTTAGAGGGATAGATGCTAAAATGTATCGCTCGGGAGCGCAAATGTGAGAAACTGCGTCATTTTATTCAAGACAGACCCCGTCTGTGTGCATTGGAAAGATGTAAAAGAAAGCGTAAAAAGGGGAAGTCTAATTAAATTATAACTGTGATTTACGTTAGTTTTAAAAGACAGCAAGAGTAGCCTCGTTTCGAATATACAAAGCGAGTTTAGCTGTAACATTAAATCAAGTAAATGAAAAGATCCATCCTGCAGCGAGCAGATGCATTTGCCTCTGGCATAGCCGCGGTTTGTTCCATCAATGCAAGCGGTGGGGGCCAGCGGACTGCGGGGGCCAAGTCATTGTGTGCGGAGGGAAGCCTTTGGCTTGCACCAAGTGCAAACATTTAGCCTGCGGATGCCCTTTGAGGGCCTAGGTTGCCTCTTTTCTCGTGCGCACCGACAGCGGCTGCATGAAAGGGGCTTAAGACAACTCGGAGGGGAAGCAACAATGGGCCTTTGTGTGGAGCCCTGCCTCTTGACTGGAAATCAAAGCCAGTTTATAAAGTCAAATAAAAGCCCGATGAGCCTTACAGTTGTTTTCTCCCTCGTGTGTTGCCCCGAGGATTGAACTAAAACGCATGCTATTGTCATGGATGGAGGATCGGGCTTCTTGAAAAACCGCTGTTTGGGATGCTCATTGTCAGCAACAGTTGTTTACAACCTCTTTTGTATTCTTCGAAAATAATTTGGGGAAAAAATAGTCTCATAGACATGAATTCAAGTCATTCTCTTGTCTATTCCTCCAAGTCATCACTCGAATGCGTTCTCCGGTTTGTTTTTACGCACACTCCTTGAAGCGCAAAAGAGCTTTCAGGCGGCCGTGGGAGCCCACAGGCTTCAAAAGGCTGCTCCACGACGCACGTTCTTAGGGGACTTTAATAAGCGTTTACACACATGCGGCATGCAAGCAGGAAATGATCAACTAAGAGCAAAAAAAAAAAAAATACATTAAAAAATGTTCCAATGTTGCAATTTCGATGTGACTGTTCTGGACGTTTTTTTTTTTTTTTTTTTTTTTTTTTTACACGTGAGAACATTTTTATGCGGCATTTTGCTGATTCCCAGTCATGGCGTCACAATGCATAGTCACGTTAAGCCCTGTTTGAGCGACATTAAGTGTAGGCCTGCATTCCTCAAAAACATGCAAATGAGACGACTGCACCCATGCGCCACCATTACGCACATATGCCGTTTACACGTACTGTATACTGCATTATATAATCATATAACCGTTCGTGTCCCTCTTGGGAAACTGAGCGAGAGAGGTTTTTTTTTCCTTCCTCCGCTCTATATGACACTTCTATGGTGCGTATTTGAATAGATTCAAGTGGCGTGCGATGGGCTGAGAAAAGGCAAATTTTTCAGCCTGAATGGCTCAGTGTCCCTGGGCGTGAGGAGGAGGAGGAGGAGAAAAGAGGAAGATGGAGATGAGGAGGAGGAAGAGGAGGAGGAGGCGCTGCTCTCTCTGTGCGGCTTGAACGCGTCTCGCTGAGTCGAACGCTTTGATCAGGCCTGCTGGCGCCTAAGAACAACATAACTTGTCTGCCCATTAGAGTGACTGACAAATCGTGACAGATTGTTTAGACTTGGCAATTAGTGAGGACGCAGACGCTTTGCTACAGACAATGCGATAGAAAACTTTTCCAAAAATGAAAAAAAAAAAACCAAAACATTTCATGCAACGAAATATTCTGGATATCGTATCAAGTCCATTTCAAATGTAAAGCTGCACAAAAGTTGCATAAAATAAAATAAAAAAATCTGGCGATACAACAGCTCAGAAATAGTCAGTGGCGAATTTCAGTGCATGGCGGTTTCAAAAATGCTCATTATCATGGTTATATATTATAGTCTGCTATTTCTACTCATTTTATTTTCACGTGAAATGCAAAAAAAAAAAAAAAAAGAAGAAATACATTTCAGCTTGATGCAAACAAAGACAATATGAAACACTTTCCAAAATCAATACCTTACATTGGCATGATTTTGAATCCCATATACATTGTGGCACCTGTTGCATCGAGTAAGAATTTCCACAATGCATTTCGACATACATTTGTTCATAAAATTACCAATAACTTATCGTTAAACGTAACAGTGTCGGGTTAACAGTGTCAATCAAAACTGAACTCACTTTCTCTGCAAATGCAACATTTTATTAGTCCAAACTATGACATTAAATGCGTTTACTGTACAGGAGAGTATGGCAGGTAAACTCATGTCAAACCCGGGTTGAACCCCGCCCCTCCCCTTTTGTCCTCGCCATCATTTTTAATGGACTTATAGTCAAAGGGAAAGAATCCCAGAGATCCCTCCCTCAAGGCCGATAATTAGCCCTAAACGACTGCAAAGGGCAGTGTGTTGCAATCTGATTAGAGCCCTGCAGCTATCAATAAACAGCATGCTGCAAGGGGCTGGACCCATTAAAACAGAGGGACAGGAAGCCCTTATAGGGCAATAGCCAACAAACGCCACTCAGCACTTTGAGGCACCACAGAGCTTGTCACCATATCGTAAAGTGTTTTCTTTGAACACGATTACACAATGCATCTACCGTAATATTTACGATAAAATTATAACCAATATTACGCACGATCAAGTTAGGATGTGCCACAATATTATTGATCTGATAATAAAGGTGATCACGTGATCACACGAGCAATACTGTGAAGCATCACCTTTTCTCTCTGATGTTTTTTTTTATTTTTGGGGGGGTGCTGTTTTTCTTATTTACAACTCACTTTGTGAAACGGGGCATTTGGATCAATAACATCTTATTTTCATCAGCGCTATTGATATCAGGTATAAATTAAAACATCAAGTGACGCAACGGAAAGATATGAGTTGTACATGGTCTCGATGACCCATTAACGGTTTGTTGTGTTTATTTGAAGCGGCTTCGTGGGGTAGTGGGTGGGGTGGGGGTGGAAAAAAATGTTAATTTCCCTTTTTTTTTTTTTCGTCCAGCCCATGTAGTCTGTGATTGGTTGCATCCCACTCCACGCCTGTTTTATAGCTCCGCTCTCCACTCGGCTAGCACAAACATGAGGATGTCGACACCTTGACACAGCAACTTTTTTTTTAAAACTTCTTTTACAAAGTCTTTTTTTTTTTACTCCGTCAAGAGTTCACCACGAGAGTCACCAGCACAGCTCCACGGTGTCAGTCGGACCTGTATGGCCCCATCGTCGGTGTCGATGTCAGTTTTGGCCGCCGCCGCCGGTTTAAAAAGTGAAGATCTCCCCCCACGCTCGGTGCTCGTCACGAGAGGCGACATGCAGACCAGCCTGAGCCCCACAGAGGACGCCGGGAAGCCCAAAGTGGCCATCCTGCCCTTCAGCGTCGAGGCTCTGATGGCTGATCGCAAGCCGAGCAGAGAGGCGTCTTCCCCCGACGGCCCCTCCGTGGCCGGGACGTCCCAATCTCTGGGGAAGAGCGTTCGGATGGGTCCGTTTGGAGGTCTGGATACTTCCGTGCCTGCTATCCCGATGGGCTCCTCTTTTTCAGTGGGCGAGCTCATGAACATGCAAGAGGACGTGTTGATTAAACCAGAGAGTCCAGACAGCCAAGAGCGAACTTCCTGGATCCAGAGTCCTCGTTTTTCTCCCACACCTCCACGTAAGTCGATTTTCTCGTTTTCGCGTCCTGATGCGCTTTGACGCACGATGCGAAGTCATAAAATAAACAGTCCGGGGTCTTAACTGGATCGACAATTGTGTCCAAATTGATTTTTTTTTTCCTGAACGATTTTAGCCGTGTGAATGCAAGTATTATGAAACTCCAACGGGTGTGACTTTTTTTCGATGATTTTGTCATTTCCAGTATGAATAAAATACAGACCTACAGTTTATACCCAACACTCTGTTTTGGATCGAGTGTTGCCACTTTTGGCCCGTTGAAAAGCACGAAAAATTTTATTGGATCGAATCATACAATTTTGGGTACGATGGTGTTCATTCTCCTGAACTATTTTAGCCGTGTGAATGCAAATATTATGAAACTCCAACGGGTGTGACTTTTCGATGATTTTGTCATTTCCAGTATGAATAAAATACAGACCTACAGTTTATACCTAACACTCTTGTTTTGGATCGAGTGTAGCCACTTTTGGCCCGTTGAAAAGCACGAAACATTTTTACTTCTATGATCTTGGATTGAATCATACAATTTTGGGTACGATGGTGTTCATTCTAATCAACATTTAAAAATGTTAGTTTACGTATAGTGCGAACAATTTGACGAGATAAAACAATAAGTTAAATACGCATTACTACAGGAATTGTTGTCAAGACCCGGTCGAAAAAAATTAAACTTGAAATGGCACACTGCAATATCGGCTACGGTTGGCGGCCAAAAGGGTCACCCGTGTCTTATTATCGAGCCAGGTTAAAGCGTGGTGGCTTCTTTTTTTTTCTTATCTAGGGAGGCTGAGTCCTCCAGCGTGTCCTCTGAGGAAACACAAGACCAACAGGAAGCCTCGGACCCCTTTCACGACATCCCAGCTGCTGGCCTTGGAGAGAAAGTTCCGTCAGAAGCAGTACCTGTCCATCGCCGAGCGCGCAGAGTTCTCCAGTTCCCTCAGCTTGACAGAGACCCAGGTCAAGATCTGGTTTCAGAACAGGAGAGCCAAAGCCAAACGACTACAGGAGGCAGAACTAGAGAAACTGAAAATGGCAGCTAAACCCATGTTGCCTCCCGCGTTTGGGATTTCCTTCCCTCTAAGTGCCCACGTCGCAGGGTCCTACGCGGGCTCGCACGCCTTCCAGAGGCACTCGCTGCCGGTGTCCCCCGTGGGACTATACGCCGCCCACGTCGGATACAGCATGTACCACCTAACCTGATGATGGACTCAAGATCGTGGACACTTTTTAAAAAAAAAAAATCATTATCATGGGGTAAGACTCCTTGTTGAAGGAGTTTTTTTTCCTTGCAGTTTTTCTTCTTTCGAGGACCCGATGTCTGATCTCGCCATGAGTAAGTCCTACAAAAAGATGTTTAATCTTGTGCTCATAGTGATGCATCAGATTTTTTTTTTTAACAAAAGACTCGTAATAGGACACTCAAGTATGGACGCAAAACACAACTGTGTTGCAGTATTGTCGGCCTGCTGCAATAGTTTTGTGGAAGCATTTTTTTATTCTTTTTTTTTTCTAAACCGGATAACAGTGTCAATGACTTTTTGTAAAGATGAAAAACAACAGCATTTAAAAAGAGTTTAAAAAAAACAGCACTAGTGTCTGTTGTTGGAATGATTCCCTTCGCAAGGGATACGTGTACTGTAAAATAATGTATATTTGGAAAAATATCCTCATTTATATTATGAATATATTTGTGACATAACTTAATAAATTGTTTATTCTTTTTCATTTCATTTGTCTTGATTGGCATGATGTCATAATTATTGGCAAGCGGGAAGAAAATGATGACGTTGGCATGTTATAGATTTGCGCACGCAAGTTTTTGCAGCGCACTTTCTTTTTTTTTTTTAACTTTAGTGTCTGCTTATGTGCAAGCAATGTCAACTTGTCACATGTTATTTGCAGGAATGTATTGCTACAGCTGTTGCCCATTGCTTTGAGACGACTAACCTAGATTCTGTTGGCGCCAGCAGAGTTTAGGGGTGGGGATCATGTGGGGGGGCTGGAAGTGGAGGTGGGCGGGGGTGCACGTTGACGAACCCACTTCAAAACACACTGATAAATATTGGAGCTTTAACTGGCCCACGTGTGTCATTAACGCGGGTTAAGGGGTTTGTAAAACGGGCCAAATGACAGGCCATTAAGGGGTAGCACATCTTTTTTTTGCGCGGGGCGGGGGGGGGCATTCCTCGTGCAGCACCTGAAAGATAACCTCTCACGGAGTCATCCTTGCCCTCCAAAAAAGCGTGATCGGATCGTTGCAAATTACAGAGCATGTACTCGCAATACAGGCGCGAGCCCCCCACTCCCACCCCCGTGAGCCGAGCAGAAACGGAGTAAAATAATTGTTTGTAATGAGCGCTGGCGGATGGAGGCCCGGCCCGGCTCCAGAGAGGCTGTAGCTGCAGGCAAGAAGGAACTTTTATCATTCCTAAAATATCAACCGGGGGACTGGGACGCTCCGTTGCGGTGATTTCCTCAACCTTGCGCGATGACAAGCGGTCATGAAAGCAGGCTTGCGCAACAGGAAGTTTTTCTTCTTGTGCAGCTTAACTAAACGTTATTTAAGAGAACCTTACTTTAAATCGACGGTGCAACGTTGCTTGTATCCACTCCCAAAAAAGTCACATTTTAATTGTGAGGTAATCACACGGATGAGCGCGACGTGACCGGGATGCGTCTATTCTGTAAAATGCTTTTTTTTTCTCTCTCTCTCTTTTGACCCTCTCTTTCTCGACGACTAATGACAATCAGCCAAACGATCACAGCAGGCTGCTGTTTGTCACAAGTGCTCATTAGATGTCATTCATCGTCCCCTGTGATCGACTGGTGGGTTTGAAATCGTCCGTGTCTACGAGACGTGCTCGAAAAGCCGTCAGATGTCGACCTACGATTGGATTAGAAACTCCAAGTGCCCGTCGAACTATTCTAGATGCATCGTGCATCAAATAGTATGGACTAATCTGAAATGAGCCACCGATGGGTAATGTGATGAACATTGGATCCGTTGTAAGTATGTACTGTCGTTTAGTAACACACAGGGATATTTAGAATATCGTATTTTGCTGTCATCTTGGAAATGACTAGCTCAGAGAGAAAAAAAAACATTTTAATATAGAGAATTATTATGGCAATGTACAGTAGCTTTGGTGAACTTTTTTAGGGCGTGGGGGAAAATTCTCCATTTATTTTACTGTATTTTTCACCGCAGTTATTCAGTATTAGTGTATACTGTTATTTATATATGAAGTATTTATGATTATAATTAAGTGACCTTACACCTTCAGGTCAGCAGTTATTCTAAAAGCCGCAAATAACTGCTGTTTATTCGAACCACCAGTGATTTTTTTTTTGTTTAAAGTCACAATCATGCAATTCTTACTGCATTTGCAAGTGTTTAAACTGCAGAACATACATTGTGCACACGTGCAAATATGCAAATTTCAAAGCTTTAAACTTGAAAACATGTCATTTTCAGCGACTACGGCACTTGCAAATTCCACATTTCTAATTTAAAAAAAATACACCAAATGAATAATTGTCTGCGCATCATGGTTGTTTAGCATTTTTGGTTTCAAGTGACACAGCTACAGTTTTCTGACCGGCATAATATTTTATGATCCATTCACCTGACACATCCACAGACTATATTTTACTACATTATTTCGAGGGCTGATGTTGAATTATGAAGCAGAAGAGGTGCACGAACAGCCTATTTGGATTTGTCTTTCACAATGTCAGTTCATTAAAGAAAACCAAAACAAAACATATTTCATTGTAACACAAGGGTTAAAGGCCATAAATCAAATCTTTGAGGCGTATGTTTTCATATTTTTCTTCACTGGCAGGCCTGCACTTGAGCCCTGCGATGTCACATCAAACTTAGTAAAGCTACCATTATTAATGATGCCGTTATTTTCGAAATCACTCTTTAGCCATCTGCTAATAAAGACATCAGCGGGTATGATTTGTTGGTTGCTGCACATTTCTAAAATATCATCTAAAAAAAAAATTTTAAAAAGCACGGCGCTGCAGAAAATTAGCTGTTCCTAACTCTCATTGACAGCAGCAATACATCATGTTGTAATGCAGCACTCAAAACAAAATAATGACTGAGAAAATGGATTCGTCTGTACGTCGTTATGGAATGAATGCATTCAATAATCAATATTTGCTCTTGATAAAAGCTAGGTTTTCACCATGTTACTCATCAGCATGAGATACTCCAAATGGTGAGAAGCTTGATTCTCTGTTAATTAAATGTGAAAATAATACCATAAGTTTACTTTTGATTGGAGTATTTCCGAATTGGAGGAATGAAGGTGGAAAACGAGCACCCCCCCCACCGCCTTCACCCCGGCCTTTTTTTTTTGCTGTGGCCTATAGTGTCCACAAGAGGGCAGTAAAAGCCTGAAGTGTTCGGAATTCAATTGTTGACCACGTTATGTATGACACAGTGGATTTTAAAAAAAGTTTACACACCCCTCTTCAAAAGCCGGGTGTTTGTGATTTCATAACTTTTTTTTTCTACTTGCAACCAGAACGACTGGATTTGAAAAAAAAAAAGTTTGAAAAGATAGGTAAAAATGTGATTGCACAAGTATGCCCTCCCTCTTAAAACTGCAGTGTGGGTCTTTTAAACTAACCAATCACATTCATTTTAAAATCATGTTAAATGGGAGCATACCACCTTTTAAAGACTGCTATTTCACACACTTTTACAACATTATCTCAGTTGTTTATTTTGACTTCCTTTCTCAAAAACACTGGAAAAAAACAAACCAACAACAAAACACTGAGTTGAACAAGCTATAGGTCGCGTTAATGGTGGAAAACGTTCAAAACTGAATCATCATGGTCTCATTTTTTTGGTAGCGCAAAAACCTGGCATTTGAACAGGGGTGTGTAGACTTTTTATTTCCACTTGACTTTTACCAACCGCTGCCATCTAGTCACAGCCATCACCACCGTGAGAATGTTTAAAGACCGCCAGAATGTCAAGTTGACACAAAAACACATACACATACAAATAGCGGAGCTCTCCCGTTGATTATTATGGCGGTTTGGAGACATCTTTACAGTCGACAGGAGGCACAGCTTCAGTCGACTACTCCGGCGTCTGTGGCATAAACATTTACTGTGCAACGTAATTATAACTCGAGTGCATCGTTTCCAAACATCTCTTTTAAGGGGAAACATTTTCTTAAGTCGACTAATGAGGCAACGTGTCTTTTTAAGATGCAATAAAAAGTGCCTAATGTGATGGAAAATTGCCTGAAAGCCCTTTAAAGCAGAAGTGAATCACAAAGTGCATCACTGATCCTTTAATGTAAATAGGTTTCTGATCTGTACTTTATAAGCTCATTTATTTCAACAAAGCAGAGAATGATTACTGTGACCTCCCCCCGGGCAAAGTTTTTAATGTTTTATGATCCAGCGTTTAACATTTTTGGTGCAGGGTCACAGAACATTAAATTGGGAAGTTATCCGGACGCCCGCTGACTGAATGTTTTAGTCTCATTTTGCTCTAATGATACAAAACAATGTGGGTTCTGTAGCCCTGTAATGATGATCAATAAGTACAGCAATTACATTTTATCACCGCTTCTATTTTTTTTTTTTTGGTTTTGTTTAACAAGCCTCATGCTTCTCACTAACATTTTGGTGTTGGCAGAGTTCCTTCATTAGAGGAGTTCACCCGTTTCATGTGGTTAAAAGGCACATTTGAATCAGATTTGTAAGACTATGAGCAACAAACGTGCCTGTTTTAACAGGAGCCGGACTTCAAGTTACATGAGAAATGTTTATAGAGACAAGTGTCATAGCATTAAATACATTCCTAAAAAACTGGTGTGAATGTTGTTGTGTGAACTGTTAGTTTATTTTTTTACACACACAGTGAATCAAATTGGGATTGGATTTATTGTGGCAGATTACTCAAAAGAAAAACGAAGCGGCGTTTTTAATAAACGGTCAAAACATCGTGTGTAATTTCATCATAATTTAAAATAGTTCTTGGACATGTTTTGAAGCTGCAATGAATCAGTTAAGATCCAACTAATTCATGAGATGATTTGAAAGTCCATGTCACAGTGAAAAGCACAATTTGGGCCAAACCTGAGTTGACAAATGCTGACAAGCATCACCATCTTGTGGCAAGTAACGGTATTGTGATTTTACATTCTTGCCTCTAACCCTTGCGTGCATTTTTTTTCTGAATTAACCGTTGAGCACCAAGGGAGCAATGGGGAGAGCCATATAGGGCGTTCGGTGCCTTGATCGAGACCACCTCTACCAGTGGTTCATCCCCAGAGCACAAAAAGGCCCACAGCAACTTTAAGCCTGCACGAATTTCAGTCCAGTACTTGTTTTGTCCTGCAAGTGACTTTGGCTGTGACCGACTGGTCTCATAAAAACTTGTAGGGAAAATATTATTAGTACCGTGTTATGGTTTGACCACAACAAGGCATTACTTATTGGATATTTTTTTTTTCCAATCTGGCACAAAAATAACACTTGACAATCCTTCCAGTGAAGCAGGGTGACTCAAGCCTCACGCTTGTCTTTCTTAAGATGGAACTGGACTCGGTCAAAATTGGCCTCAAACCTTTTGGCATGACAGTAAGCCAAATATCCGAAGGATACATGCAAATAAAGAAGACTGGCTCGATTTGTGGAAGATTCAGAAAGGCCCAGTCATAGAGACCGGACCTAAACTTGACTGAACATGTATAGGGTGACCAGAATGGAGCTGTGCAAAAAAGATCCCGTCGCGATCTGGCACGAGCCTCTTTTCAATGTAAAGTGGGTATGGAAGATTCAGAAAGGCCCAGTCATAGACCGGACCCAAACTTGACTGAACATGTACAGGGTGACCAGAATGGAGCTGTGCAAAAAAGATCCCGTCGCGATCTGGCACGAGCATCTTTTGAGCAAAGAGTCGTAGCTTAGTATGACGCAGTGCTGGGCTGCTACTACTTTACAAATGTCGCCAAAACGTTGCACGTCGTGCTCCTTCAAGACGTGTTCAGTCAGAGCGAGCGTTATGGCAACACAGCCCATTTCGCTTAATGACACACAGAGCTTTGATCAGCCACGCTACATAAACAAGAGGCTTGGGCCCCACTCACAAGCATCTCTTACTGGTTTATTATTTCATGGTTTGCGTCGGCGCGATTGGCATTCAGCAAATTTCCTGTGGAAAGTTCTGCCATTCTTGCAGGAATGTAACCTGCACGCATGTTCCACTAAACGCGAGTGTGCACGAGAGTCAGCGCGTAGCGTGCCGCGGCACTTCCGAGTGAATACAATGCAGGGCGTGGTGTTTATGTACATAATCGCTTATTCCGGCAGGCTGCTTTCGGGCGACTCCTCGTGTTGCTTAGCTCTCCTCCTGCAGAAGCTGAAGTCTGTCCTCGGCATAGTGAGGCCTGCTGTGTCCAGTGTCGATGGCCTCACAGTCGTCTGTGAAAAACACCAAGTCCTGCCAAAAGCAATAAAGATGTGACGTCACGTCTAAGCGGCCAAACAGTCTAGCGGTGAGTCAAGTGTCTCCTGCAGAAGTTTGAGACGCTCTCACCCGATAGCAAATTCTTGTAATGATGGCATACAAGTTCTGGATTTTTGTTTTCAGCAGCACCATCCTGGGTCGCTCTCTGCAATATTGGCTGGGATGGTTCAGAAGCACATAGAGGAAGTCGCGGAGTTTGGTCGTGATGCAGGAGTTCTACAGGGATAAAGCCACCAGTCTTTCAATGGCGTGCTCACACTTGACGAACCCATAACCACCAAAATACAAAAACTGACCTGGCCCAACTCAAATTAGACTATTTTACAAAATTTTCCTTTTCCTTATTTCAGTCGTTCAATTCAAAAAGTGAAACTCAATATTATGCAGATTCACAGAAGAAAATTCAGCTGTAACATACAATCATCAAAATTGTAAAACCTAAACAATAGACTTAAAAATTATATCCACAAGGGTCGCGGGGTGTGCTAGAGGCAATTCCAGCTGTCTTCGGGTAGTAGGTGGAGGACACCCTGAACTGGTTACCAGCCAATCGCACGGCACACATATATCACCAACCATTCGCGCTCACAATGACATCAAGGGCAGGGGTATCAAACTCATTTTAGTCGCGGGCCGATTTGGAGTTGCCTCGGAGGGCCGTTATGACAGTGAAACCACAAAATTATTACTTGTACACAACAAATTAATAAATTACTAGTTTTGAAATCAGTCAAGTCCATTATAATAGTTTGTTCAATTATTGTTCAAGTGAGTGTAAACAGGTAACAAAGTTATTGCAAAATCTCAACGTTATTTATTACATATAACAATTTAACATGTCGGTCCAGATTTTACCAAGTTGACGCACATGATTTGCTTTTGCGGGCTACATAAAATTATTTGGCGGGCCGGATTTGGCCCCTGGGCCTTGAGTTTGACACCAGTGATCTAGGGACAATTTAGCGTGTTCCATTCACATGCCACGGATGTTTTTGGAATATGGGAGGAAACTGGAGAAAAACCACGCAGGCACGATGAGAACATGCAAACTCCACACTGGAAGGCCAGAGCCGGAATCGAACCCTGCACCTCCGTCCGCACTGTGAGGGGGACGTGCTAACCGGTCGCTGCCTCGATAAATACAGAATTTAATTTGATCGAATTTGCTTTAGGCAGGATAAAGCAGCATTTATTTAGCACATTTCACACAGCAGACAACTAAATCACTTTGCTTCAAGTTCCTTGCTTGAAGTTGTGCCTCTACGCTTTAAGTTTCTATTAAACAACTCGGGAGTGAATCGAGAAAATTCTCCCTTGTAAAGGTGGCTGTACCCACAAAGTTCGATAACCTCTGTAATAGATGGCGCAGGTGTACATACAAGTTATACAACTTACATGAACATCAAGGAAGATGGTTGGTAGCACCTCAGCACAAGTTTTCTGGCAGAACAATCGAAGACAACACAAATGAGAAACCACACACAACAAAAGTGCCAAGGCCACACAGTTGGGCGCTCATACCGTGCGATGGTAAGTGTGGATCTTATCCAACAGGTTCATCACTTCCTTGCTCAGGCTCAGCGACCTCGAGTAACAAGTCGGAGGCGCGCATTCAGACAGACACACAAAGCTGAAGACACACAATGCGATGGCCGATCCGGCTCTCATGTTCGCCACGATCTTACTCCGTTGCACTTTCGCTGGTTGCTCCAAGTGTGTGCGCAACGCTCGGACGCTCAAGTAACAAAGCGGAGGGCGACTTGCTGCACTTTAAATGGCGGAATTGAGAAAAAAAAAGGATGTGGGGGATGACGTAGAGGCGTAGCGATGCCAAGGAAAATATTTGACCGAGTGCACGCATTTTAAGTGGTCTAACTTGGAGTGGACACACGCTTGGACTCATGTTCATCAATTCCCCAAAACAACTCGTTATTTATTTAAAAAAAAATGTCATCTGCAAACGGAGAGAAGTCAAACCGAAAAATGAAAAAGTTCTCTTCCAGTGCCGAGAAAAAGGTTCCTGTTTAGGAGCGGATAAACTTTCGTCTTTGAATTTTGAAACGAACAGATAAGCCAAGTCATTCAGAGATGAGGTAGGAAAAATATGTACCGGTAGGTTATATAAAATCATTTATTTGAATCGTGAACGAGATTGTGTTTACTGGAGCATCTTACTCTGGTTTCCGGATCCCATCAATGACGTCATTGATCGATCCGTAAATTACATTACAACCGATGACCAATTTTGGATAAAAATGCAAAATATTTGCCGATCCGATGCAGCCGATCAGATCTGTGTTTAATTCTGGATAATACTTTGGGCCAATGATAACAGATGAGACTTCGAACTGTATGAGAGCGCACCAGTTAAAGTCTATCAAAGCTAAATTAAGATTAGAAAAACAAAAAGACATTTATCATTGTTGAGGCAAGCAATCACCAAATTATCAGAAATTGATTTTTAAAAAAAGCACAAAGTTTTCAAAGGTCTTATATTATTTTTTTCTTGAGAACATCTGAATTTGGCATGCCTCTGACCTATCACAGTAAACACGATTATGATCCAGGGATTTTTTATTATAATTTTTTTAAAGAATTTTGTCTGGATTCGCAGACATGCAGGCACCCTTGCATAGGTGTTACACCCAAACCACAAAACCTCAAATGCAAAGTCGGCAAGCGTTGTTATACTGGAGCGATGTTATATTGGAGCATTTGGCATCGGCCTGTCACTTGGCTGTTGGTACCGTAATTTGTTCTTTTCACTCGAGATCTATTTGTAAGGTGTTGGAAAGGATAGTTACAACGTTTCACCCATCTGTTGTTCATCACGCTGCTTTTTCACAATGCAAAAAAACAAAACAAACACACTGGATGATGGAAACGGTTCAAGTCAGCTGCTTTTATACAAAGGATATACCAAGTGGAGTGATAAAACTGCAATGGTACACGAGATACAAAGTGGCAACATCGTAAATGACTCTAATCTTGTGTTTCACTAACCGTGCTACTTCAAATTTTAAGGATTGTGACATCGGTTGCAATTTGGAGGAATTAGTTTTTTTTTTTCCAAATTGCCATGACACTTTTATTTGTGTAAAATATATCGTCACGTCATACACCTTCCTAAAATAATGGAAGTGTTTTAAAGAGTTGGCCAGCATCATTTTGATGGCAAAATGATATAGACCATTATTTTAGAAAGGTGCCAATGTTACCTATTTATTAGCACTGTTTAAGTCAACTAAAGAAAACATTTAAAATATCTTCTTTAAAAATACCAAAGCAGCAAAGGCAGTGAATCAAATTCAATGTAGTGCCAAAACCTTTGGCTCGGACTGTTTATCATGATGTTAATTCTTACGATGAATGATGACATACTGTCCAGTAAATGTCAAGTTTGGGTTGTTGGAGCCACACAGCCTTTCTTCAAATTGAGAAAGTTCCTTTTCTTTTTTCTCTTTGGAGAGCAAATACTAATGTGGGATTGAGGTGGATCCCGAAAGACAAACAGCCTTTCACCAGAGGCCTGACAGATCACTTCCCCATTTGCAGAGGTTGGAAGCATGTCTTCTTCTGCTGAGCTGTGGCGCGTTTCATTCCCTTTCTCCGTGTCGCCTTGGCTGGGAGCCTCACTGTGCCGCTGTGTGTTTTCACCGATGGCTGATTTATACCCAGGCAGCCTTTTCTTCATAAAGTTATCCTGCTTTCCTTTTTCCGCAAGTGCCAGACGAGATCTGGGCAGAAGTCTTTCCATCAGGCTTTGCCTCTTTTCCTGGAGTCTCTGAGATCTAGAGTACAAAGGAGCTGCTGTTTTAAAGACCGCGGCATACATGCGTTCTGACTCGGACATAGGCGCGCCTCTTGACGACATGCATGTTTCACCGCATAAAAAAAATCATATATGTCGGCGTTCATGACCCCCGGGCTGATAACTAGCCTTGATGTTGAGATGTCTTAATCTGGCAGCTGCTTACTCACCTTTCCCTTTCCACATGTGGCATGTTCAGCTTACTTCTGTGTACAAGGTCCTCCTTCAGTCTGACAGGAAGATGCAGATTAACCCTGGTCAGAGAGTCATTATGTCAGTAATGCGCTGGAACTGGATAAAGCTGATTCATTTTAACCAACTTTGCCGCCATGTTAAATGTGGCTAGCTTTTGCATGACACCGCCAGTCATTTTCTATTGCCGGCGTGTTACCCCAGAAAAGCGCCTTGTTTGTAAATGGAGTGTTAATATAGCACAAAATGTCATCAGTTTGAGGACACAGGGGTGTGACAAATGATTGACACTTTGTGAATCAAGCCTTGTGTCTCCGATTGGTTGTTCTTGTCTATCAAATCAAGTGGCAAAAGGTGGGGTCAGAAATGGCAGATTTTTTTTCCCCAAAGATCATATTTGTCATGTTGTCAAGACAATGACATGACAAATGTTTTTTTTTTTAAACTTACAAACTCCCCTTTAATATAACACAAACAATAGTTTTACAACTTTATCTTAATATGTTAGCACTTCAAAAAAAGTAACTGATGTGTGAAAAGTATAAGAGTGGGAAAGACAAGAAAAACGCTGCCTTTTTATTCACCCCTTCACTGCTTTTACTTCTCAGATCCAAAAGATATTATCCATGAGACATTAGTCAGCAGTAATTTAATCCCAACTCAGGCGGGGCCAAATTTGACCGAATGACAACTCAAACAATTTCTCTTGATTCATCCCTTCACCTTGGTTCTCGGAAAATGACACACAGCATTTTTTTGTTCGCATTTCAGCCAATGGGCAGAGTTGACCCCGGACCTATTTTCCTTTTGAATTTAGGTTGAAAGACATTCTCAAACAATAATCGTAGTTTACTGAAGACAGGCGCAGAGATAAGAACTCTGTCTAAACCCGAGACAGGGGGAAATAATCGAAAATATTGAAAATGCACCGTTGGATGATGCACCGGCTGAAAATTTGTGTTGACATTTTCGGACATGCATTCAAAAAGTAATATTCACAATTGTTATGTAATGCGTTCTAATTTCAGTTCAATGCAAGTGAAATGACAGATTATGATGATTATCCTAATGCTCACCCAGAATGCTCCTGCTCTGAGGATGAGGAACCAAGATGCTGTTTCGGACAGAGGGCATCGGTGATAGAAAGAAGTTCACTCTCAGGGATCGTGGGGACCAGCAGGCGCAGGAGCTCAAGGAGAACCTCCACAGGCACGCGACACTGTTTTACCAGTTCGGATGCGAAAAGCAGGTCCTGAAATACAGAAGTGACCACAGAGAAGAACTTTGCAGTTCAACGCACACCCTTTTTTTCTGCGTTTGTATGAAAAGCGTTTGAACCTGGTCGCAGTTGGAATAAAGTCTCTTGAGCGCCATTTGCTCTCTCAGATCTTCCATCGTCTGATTGCCTGTCGTCATCTCCTGTAATCTGATACATCAGTTTTAAAATGTTAAAAACGGAATTAACAAAAGGATGTAGTGTCCCAGAAGACCGCCGCAGACCCACCTGAAAGTCAATGCTGTGATTACTTGATCACACCTATCGAGAGCCTCCTGGAGGATGGATGTCATTCGGCTCTCCTGTTTCAGCCCGAACAGCTCCTGCTCCTCCTCGCGGCCTTCCTCTGTCACATCAGCGTCCTCTGTGTGTGGTTGATTTGACCAATGAACCGTTTCCAGACGGTCCAGCTCACCAGTCTCCTCCTGGAGACGACGTTCTGCTTCCTCAAGGCCCTGCAGGAAAACAAGCCCAAAATATTTGCGTCATACGAATGAAAGGGCACATCCTCTTTGCCGGAACGTTCGTCATAACAGCTGTATTAAAACGGTGTCATGGTAAATATAATAATGCTCTTATTTCCAATATGAGCTAATTATAACAACTGCTGAAAGGCAAAACAAAAGATAAATCATATCACGCATCCAGTACTTTGTCGACAGAATCTCCCGGTTTGAAAGAGTCAATTGAGTTAATCGTTCCAGCTAATGTCAACTAATTGCATAAAAAAAAAAAAAATTCTCAAAAATGTAAGATGTTTGGGAGTTTTGTAATTGGGAAAGCAGGATATTTGAAACGGGATATTATACGGTGCAAGTCTGACATGGTGTGAGGAAAGAAAAAGATTAAACAGAGAGAGAGAGAGAGAGACAGAGAGAAAGAGAGAGAGAGATTCATTTACATGGTGGAGAAGCACACTGCATCATGCTGTTTCTAATATTTTAGTTCACCAACTACAATTTCGGAGGAAGCCTCTGGCCAAAGCAATAAAATGCCCCAATTAAACTTGACATCAAATCCCTCTTACCAGGCAGTGCCTCTGTATACTTTGGGCCATTTCTTGTCTCGCCAGATTCTTCGTCTCTCGAAGGTGATGAATTAGCAGGCTGTGCAGGGCGTGCAGCGCTCTGGACGTCTCCAAGACTTTGTTCCTCCTCTCAGCCTTTTGGTAGTGAACGGCAGCCATCTGCATCGCCAGACTGTCGGCCTGAGAATGCAAGTAGTCCTCTCTCTCCTCTTTCATCTCCTCCTCTACCTGCAGGGTACAGTTCAGCAAGCGTCACCTCAAATTAACTCCTGAGCCATTTAGACCAGAAATCTCATACAGAACACTCACACACGACACGAACAGCCGTTTTGACATACTTCTTAATAATCACCCACACTTTGGTCTCGATGTGGATCACTTTGGCGGGAGGGAATGTGACTAGCCTCCACAACGTAACCAGAACAGTAAAGCAGAGCGTGAACAAGGCTGACCTCACAATTTATGTCACACTCCAAAATTTTCTCAAGAGG